TAAAATTCAAATTCAGGGAGCTTCTCAAGAAAAGCAGTAAATTAATCTGTGATTTTAAAACTTCCTTGCAGTAACAAGCTTGATAAGAGGAAATCATATTAGAGCTCCAACATAATTGTCTACCAGCAGGAGAACATGACTTGACAATACCATACACATTCCTGAACAGTAGTGTGGATGCTGCCCCCTGTGCTCAAGAAGCTTCTCCAGCTATTCTTTCCTCTTGGCTTCAAAACTGCTGCCAACATAATGAAATACATCATACACTATTTTGTAACTTTCTTACATATTCATAAAAATTAGACAGAAATATGATTTGTAGCCTGAAACTACAACTGATAACAAGATTTTTGATAATGAACCTTCTCCTGCAAAGGGTATCTAGCCTACAGTGCTCTGCAGTATAAACACAACTATGTTCAGATATACAGAATATTTCTTAAAGTTTAATAAGAGACAGTCAATTCCAATGTTGCTCACAACTCTGCAAATTGGTACCAGTCCCCCAAATACTCAATAAAAGGCTTTCAGTCCAGAAATACATAACACCCTGACATTTACTAATTTACCTGCTATTGCTGCAAACCAATCACAGGATTACTAGAACCGAACTATGGAAAACAATGGGAATATTTACTGCTCAAAGGATGAGCAATCAGTCCAAAGCAGGTGCAGTAAACTAAGATAGTACCTCTAGCTTTTGTTTGCTAGAGTAACTATAATTGAAATTACTTGTCTTGCTAATTTTTATTGAACATGCTTTAACATGCTATTTTGATTAACAGAAAATTTCCTTATGCCATGGCTATATTATTGTCAGTTCATAATAATATGAGTGCTATATTAGTACATTCATTCAGCATAATTTCCACTTCCATTCAACTGTTACTCAAATTTACAATATTGCCAAGATAAGATACTGCTAATGAACACCTCAAGAAGGCTCAGTACTTGGCTACACTCAGCTGCACTGACAACTTGGCTTGCTAAAAAAAAATTAATCCAAAAGAACTGTTATTTTGCAAAAATTTCAAAACAAGACCATGCTTATAATTTGGAATATGAAGAAACATGGGAGTACAAGACCAAAATCTCCCACTAAGCATGACATGGGCTTTTATCAAGGCATTGCCATGAAGCATTTAATTAAAAGAAATGGAGCTAAAGTTACTACTATCAATGAATATTTCAAGGATTAGAATGTACTTTACAACATGCTGCAAATGTGAAAAATGCTGCAAGTACTGAATAGTTATCATTTTCAGTGGAACCTTTCTGATAGAGTTCTCATCCTTTAAAACCACATTCCATCATTCTTCTACACATCTGAAGGGAACAGTAAGAGAGGTCAAGCCTGAAGGAAACAAATTCAAAACAAAAGTTCATCTGTTCCCTTAAAAAAGCACCAATGGCCAGGCAGCAGTAAAGGAAGCAGATCCATAGTCCTGACTGTCTAACTGCTCACGGTACATTTCTTGTCTCCCTGCTCAAGGTTTGTAAAAACCATGATTCTCATCAGTTTGGATTATTTAAAGAGACAAACGAAAGCTGTGAAATATCAAAACTGTTGAAGGGTACTGTAGTTGTGTGATATCAAGAGCAGTAAAATTGATAATAAAGCCTTCAGAGCTGCCAGGAAAAACAAAATAGAAAACAAAACTACCAACAAGATTACTGGTAATTTCTAGCTACAATATAAGACTGAGAAGAAAATACTATGGAGGAGTATGCAAGAATGAGATCTATAAATTAAAACAAGTTTTTAATCAGAGCACACAGGTCTAACATAGGTTTTGAATTTCACTTTTATATTTTCATTTCAAAACTTGAGAGACAGCATGCCACAAAGAAAAGTACTTCAAAACACTCAGTATTAGCCTATCTTCAAAGTGGCTTTTATAAATCTTAAATTTCAGCAGTACATTTCAATGCAAATTCTCCTACTGCTAACATACTCCAAATAGTAATGGAAACTCACAAATGAAGTCATATTAGCATAGCTGGGGAATGGCTGTTATGAAAATCCTCAAAAGACCTCAAAAGTTTGCCTCAGAACTCTTTAAAACTTTCTGTTTCAAACTTACTTGTGACAATGCATTTCTTACAACACCTTTCTTTACAGGAAAGATACCACAAATTGTGTTGCTTACACAGTAAACATACACACCCAGAATCTTTATAGTGTTGAAAAAGAATCAGTTGTTCCTTCCTGCAGACAGACTATTTTTAAAATCAAAACCAATAATAAGCAGAGGAGGATCAAGGCAGAGATTAATGTTCCTCCATGCTTTTCAGCATTATAAAGCTACTTTTATAACACTGAAGCAAATTGTACAGTGACTGACATGAACAAAATGACAGTAATCTGTCACTATTTCACATTTTCCACTAGGCTGATTCAAATAGTTATTTATGAACCTTACACTTCAATGGTCACTTTGATGACTAAACCATAAATTAGAATGTAAAGTGAATATAAATTTGATTTTAGAGTAACAACAAATTGTCAGCAAAGAGGGGTATTATTTAATTTCTACCGACATACTATGAAAAAGTCAGCAATACCAAGATGATCTACATCATAATAAACCCCAAACTTAGCAAAAAACTATATAGTACATCTCATGTTTGCTTCAGTACTTCTGCATTTAAAAATAAAAGCACTTTATATTATGCTTGGTTAGTTTTAAATATAAAGTCTTAATAATACCAGATGAGTTCATTACATAGATCTTCAATTAAACAGGGAGGAAGAACCAATTTTTTTCCACAGAGCATGATGAAATTTGAGAGCAAGTAAATCTTAATATGAATTTAGATGCTAAGGTTTTTAATAGTCCCAATGAAAAACTGCCTTTAAAGAAAGTTGCTATTTTTACAATCTTTATGTTTTGCTTTACAGCTGAAAGTGAGTGACACTGAAACATAACAGAAGTTCTGCAAAGCACAAAAGTTCTCAATTTTTTACAAAAAAAAATCTCTATAACCCAAACATCAAGTCTTGCAGGATTTGTGTAAAAAAAAATTATCTTGATAAATACTAATTTTCTTTTATGAGATTATTTTTTGCTAAAAAGATCCATTGTGTAATATTATTGTGTGTTTTACTGTCTGTTACTCCTGGGAATATGTAAGATAAACCCTTCCAAAACTGAATGCTTATACTTTGCCTGGAAAATTTCTACAAGTGCGACATTTAAGATTTGATTTAAGAGATTCTTCAACAACTGAACCTGGGTCCAGGCAGAGGCACAGCAAGAAGGCATAAATGAAGTTCATCCTATTGTGTGATGTAATTCGTGAGAACTCAGCACCACACCCTCAAAAAACCTGGAGACTGGCTGTGTTAAGTGCATTAACACAGCAGAAAATCTGATTCCAAACCATCCACCTTACGCTACAAATATCTGCAGCCACGAAGTCCCTCCATAGCCACTGTCCATTGAGCAGGGATGCTGCTCAAGGCGAGGTACCCCACGAGGCTGAGAGATAGCTTAACTGACACCAGACATCAGCAGGTTGGTAAGAGATGTTTTTTGCTTGTATGTAACATTTAAGATACATATAGCAAGCTCAAGCAGTAATTTTTGTATCCCATACTAACTTTAAGTGTAGTATGTAGTGGAGTATCGAATGCCAATCTGTTTGCAATAATTAAATATTTTACATACATAAATTTACTGAATAGAACTCAATAGACTAACTACTAGGTCAGATTTGTACAAGTGATACCTGACTGTTCTCCTGGGAGACCCCTTCCTTAATTTTCTTCTCCAGCCTCTAGTACTTCCCTGGAGAAGTATCAAGGATATCAAGGGTCTCCAAGACAAAACCTCAAAAATAAGAGCTGAAAATACTAATTATCACCTACAGATATGAGAAAAACCATCATAATATTTAAATGCGATTGCATTGTAGCAATCCAATCTGAACTGTTTCTTTGAGAAAACACTTAAAATACAAAAATAGCAATGTTTAGGTTAAAAAAAGATAGCAAAACTATGGTAGCACAAAACAACACCTGTTGCTGGAAGAAGAAATGCCAAAGAAATAATTTAAGTTGCACCAAAGTATTCATAATTAACTGTCAAATCAAAGGGTCCGGCTTCCTACTGAAATAAGAATCCATCTAACTGACCTGTGGGTTGTTTAAACACGCATGCTAAAACAAACCCTGGAGAAACAGGTGCACATATTCATTTGATGCTTAATAAAAGTACTACTGAGCTCTGACTGTTGTCAGCAAGCAAAGATTTTTCAAGGAGGAACTGCTTAAGCATTGTGAACACCCTTAGAGGGTTCAGCTGTAGAAATTAGCTTTCTGCCGATTTCCAGTGGTCACTGTAGACAGACAGTGGGTATGTATGAGAAGTTAAAAAGCATCTAAAGTTCAACGAAGTCTACTTTGTGTCTAAATAGCATGGTACTAATAGAAGAAACAGAGAATTTATAAGTACTACTCAGACAAGAAAAATATTGCCAGTGATTCAATTATTCCAAAGAAAAATGTATCATGCTGTATGGACACATTCAGCCAGAATTTACTTAATTCACTTCCAGATTTTCTCGTTCTAACACTCTATCAGGACATAGGAAAAAACAAACACAGAAGAAGACGAGACTATTTGGAGTGAGTGTCACCGTCACCCTTCTAAACCTACGATGTGAGGAGGAAAGGCTGAGGAAAGGAATCTAAGACACGTGAGCTAGAGGAAACAGATTCAAAGGAAAATTAGGGCAGAGAAGCAGAGTGAAGAGGCAGCAAAACAAACAGCAGAGAAGGTAAGAAGAGCATACAAACTTTTGACAAGACCCGTTCCAGTTAATGGAACAAACAAACCTAAATCCCCCTATTGCAACCATCATTTCAAAAGACATACAAAAACCAACGTTCATCTAGAGATGTTTGAGCAAGGATCTACTTTTTCCGTTTCCAGTGGCATAAGACAGTTAACTGAGGAGGGTACAACTCTTAGATAAAATGAGAGAAATACACATACCTGCCGACGAATAACCTCTAGGTTTGCTTTGGCTTTATTCACCAGTTCTTCTATTTTTTCGGAATCCTTGATATTCTTGTTTTCTCTGAAGGCATCTCTTATCCTTCTGATGGCATATGTTCTAAACACAAACAACAGGAAGAAGTGTATTCATAGATGTGCCACAATTTATGACATTTCAACATTCCTTAAAACAAGCTAATGTAAAGAAATAAAATGCATACACGTACATATACATATATATATATTGCCCAGTTTTATACCTATATCTTTTTATTCAGAGTCTTGTCTTGCCAGAGTTGAAACAGTGTCCAGATTCTTTAATTAAAAAAAGTGTTTCTTGGAAGTTGTTGTAGAAACATTTAATATTTCACATATCAGTCCATCCTTAGTGCTTTAACAATACTGTTGGATGCCTGGCATGGATATTGCAAAGCTCAAGAACATAACAAAAAGCCTAAGGACAAGAAAGTAATTCTCCAGATTATTTTGAATCAGTATGACTATTCTTAACCTGTGTATTTTAAAGGTCATTGAGCTAGCCACTATATACATTACGTATTTTTATTAGATCTGATGTTGTAAACTAGTGGTGAACAAAGGCAGACTGATGGACCAGCCATAACAAAAAGAACTCCTTCCCAGTCAGCCTTTTCCTCTCCTGCCAAGGTATATTTCACCCCTCATTCCAACATCTCCTCATCCATTTCCCCAAATACAAGCAATAAGAGGACATTATTCTGCAAGCAGGAAGATGCTATGATCTCTGCTTTCAGAGAGGAAGATCCAAAGCCGTAGCCTTTTCCAACTGCTCCTTCTTTCCAACTGCAGTCTGTAGAGTACTGCTCAGTATAAAATAGAGTCAATAGAGTCAATTTCCGTATTAAAATAAAATTTTCAGACTAAGCAGTAGATACTGTCTTTACATGGGTCTTTGGGAGGGGTAGGAGAAATGGCAGTAAACTGATCCTGCTCAGCTATCTCAATAATGTCGCAATTCTGCACCACCACATCACATCAATATCACTTTTACTCCAGAAAGTAAAACCCTACATGTGGCACTGGAAGGAAACAAAAGGCTGCTGCAAATACCATAAATAGTTTAATATTTCAACAACCCTTTTCAATCTTGTATAACAGTGGAACTTGAGAGACAAAATTGGCTAAAACACCATAAAAAAATCCAAAGACGATGTTGAAAAATAAAATTTTTATGGAGGAGACTGAAGAGGGGAGAGGAAGAGGAGGGAAGATGAATAGCCAGTGGCACCCTGCTCCATTAGATGGTGCTATCCAGCTCCTAATGCAGCTTTCACCAGCCAAGCAGTGTATTTTCTCTTTGAGCTCATAAATAATACATTTCAATCACAGGAATCAGGATGGTTATGGAGTGCCACTCTGCTGCCGCACACTGGCAGATGGTGTGTGCTTTTAATTAGGGCCTGTTCACCTATAATGTGACACTGGGGTGCGGGAGCGAGTGTGTGAGTGTGTGTTTGTATGTGTGAAGTTAATAGAATGTATTAAATATGGAAGCTCATTCTCATCTGCAGCTGCTGTCCTAGTAATGTTTGAAGGGGAAGCTGATTATTTCTTCTAGAAAAGAAACAACCTCAAATCATTAGGATGTAGTATAATTCTGTTGCTTGATAATGGATTGATTTCAGATCACCCCATATACATATGTAGGGTTAAACGGTGCAGAAACATATATTTTCTGAAAGGACATGTTTCCAAGAGATACAAAGACTAACATATACATATTTAGCTTAAAAGAAAAACACCACCACCACCAAGTATCCATTAGTGGGTACAAGTCTTTCAAAATACAATATAAATGAGTAAATGCTATCTACATAAAAAAGATAGATGGGACAAAAGCAAATTCTTGTTCAGTATAACACCTACAGCTGGTGGTTTTTTTTTTTTTGTTTTGTACATATGATGCATTAATTGTTACATCTTGTCTCTCTTTCTCTCACTACATCCAACATTTGCTGAGAAAGAAGAGATACATACTTAGAAAACAGACCAATTTTTACCTATATTCAGAAAGTTGCACTGTTTTTACCTTTTATGATTTCTTTAAACTTTTATGAATATTAACACCCAAAGGAACTTATTTTATATAGTCTTTAACACAATTTTAATTCTAAAGCTCAGTCAATGTATCTCCACTGTTGTCAAAACACACTTTAAAGACTAGCTCTGTATCCTGACACTACTCTTTTACCAAGGTTACATTGAGATTCAATATATCTCTTAAAATAAGGATGAGCTCAACTCAAAGCTTAAACCCAATACCATAATGACTATAAAACATCCTTTCCTCCCCACTGAGAGGTGCCAGGGAAACATTTCACCAACATTCAAATTCTTTAAAATTCTTTAAAAAGTCTTGAGTCACGATATAAACAAACTGGCAGGTTTGGTGTGGTGTTTTTTTTTTGGTGTGTTTTCTTTTCTTTTAAACAACAACTTTTTATACACAACAAAAATTGTGAGCAGTGTCAATCCAAATCTTAACCCTCTCCACTTCAAGAGTTTCTGAACTGAATAGGCACTAAAAGCAAGAACTACTCTAAGAACTGTGATATTGCTTCAAGTCCATGAAAAAATTGAGTTCTTCTGAAAGTACAGTAGCGAGTGTAAGCAACATATAGTAAAGACACACATGCTATGAAAAGAACTTGTTCGTTCAGACATATATATGTTGGGGTTTTTTTTTTTTTAAAGAGCACTGCTCCAAAGATCTTCTGATTGATGAACAGAGTGGTCAGGTGATCAGCTGCTCTAATGGAGTGTATTTTCAGTGCAATAAAAGTAAATACTAAAACCAAACGTACCATTTGAAGGCACAGCTCAAAATGCCAGTGACAGTGAATATATGGTTACCTTTACAAAACTTTACAACAGTAACCTAAAACAAGCACTATCTGAAGGCAGAGTGGCAGATGAAAGGCAGACTGGCAACTGAACAAGTGGCTGTACTATATGGATGATTATTTATCCAAGGGGGCACTAAGAAACAGAGGGTATACAGCACTGCAACAAGTTTAAGCCAATGTGAGTGAAGAGGCACTGCTGCAATTTTACCATGCTCCCTGCTAGGCACAAACCCTCTCTCTGCCTCCTTTAGGCCAGCACAGTCAGTCTGGGGCCCCAAGCGAGCCAGACCAACTTGGTAACATGACAGAAGGCCTATGTACTACAATAATTAACTTCTTTTTTTTCTTCTGTTTTTTATTGTTTCCAGATTAGTGAACTTCATAGGCTCTGCATGGGATTGGATGAGTATCAGCACTGAGGAGGAGGGAATACAGCAGTACTAATTTTGATGGATACAGTTTGAAATTGATCCCTTTCAGAAAGGCTAAGCAAGTCATGTAAACAAAAGGGACTGTTCAGTGAGAAGGTACCAAGCAAGCTCTCCAGAGAAATAGAATGGGAAAGCAATTTTGGATACGTACACTCAGGTCCTACAGACCTTTGGGAAAGGTCTAATTCCTAATGCAGTAGTATTCATTAAGAAACGTAAATGAAAACTCAAACTACATTTCACAATGCACTGTTTTTCTCACCATTCTTTGAAGACACATATTGGAAAATGGCTGAAAGATGCAATGAGGCATTTTGCTTTTGTCATCCAAGTGCACTGAAATTTTAATAGAGAACACCTTTGATTTTATCTTCTGCAAAGACTTTCCAGTGAGCTAGTGGCAGCAAGGCCCAAGCAAGAGTGCAGAGATGAATATATTCACTCAGCACTTTCTTACTGTGCACACTCAAAACACTCCTTGTGATCCCTACTTACATGCATCTGTCACAGAATTAGTTCCCAATTAAATCCAAAGAATGCACTCAATGGGTAATAGGCTCGGTGTGATGGCTTCAGACCAAAGCTGCCGCAGGTGGGTGGCTACACAAGGTAACATATGCACATCAGCAGAAAATAGAAGAGTGGCTGGGGGTTAATGCGAGAACAGCACCAGGGCCAAAACATTACCACAGACTCACAGGACACGGGCACTACCTGATAATGTTAAGGGACAACAATGCCTCCACATAGTAGTAAAAAACACAATAAAAACAGTATTTGTCCTAATACTCTACCTTCAAAGAGTTCCTCTTTTATCTTCTCTGAAGCACAATTAAAAACCTAACATGTGTCCTCATAAAAATGAAGCCTGTAAGAAGAAAAGTCTGAAATAACAACTATTAATGAAAAATGAAATCACAGCTGAGGTACTTCAGAAAATAGTATCTGTTTGGGGATTTAGATATTTTTATTTCAAAATGTTTACTTACGTCATGCCCGGCCAAGAAAAATTAAAAATATTTGTGTTTGCTAAGCCAGAGTGTAAGAAAAGAAGGTGAAACATCAGGCAAACATTCTTGCTTTTTAAGTACACAGTACCAAGCTTTCAAAATAAAACTGGCCAAACAATGTCTTTCTCAGAACCACTTTGCATTTACCAGTATCACAACATGTTAAAGGCTTAAGTCATCGTTCCAAGCCATGTTTGCAAACACGTTGACATCTCTTGTCTTTGTGATTGTCAACAAGTACAATGTATTACTAGATCACACCACAGTTATAGGCAACACACGGTGAAAACAATGGCTATTATAAGTTATCGGCCGTTGAGTGCACACACAGAGATAGAAGAGGAGGATTGTGGTACATATACTGTGCAAGCAAAAACAAGTACATGGGAAGAGCCCAGCAGGTTAGAATATTCACAACTTTAGAAAAAGGTCTAGAATAAAATGCATTTTGCCTTATTAGCTTGAGTTGTATTTAATAAATTGAGGCAAGTGACCAGCAGCCAACCTCCAGGAAGTCCACTAGGGTTAATAATTTTGGAACGAAGTATTTGATGCTTTTATTTAAGGATGCAATGTACAAAAGTGGGACAACGATTTAGAATACAGTACCATTATATCAGGTGAGGGATCCTTTTTCTAAAAAGGTCAGCTTTCTCTCACTAAATTATATTTTCTTATGACTGCTGCCTTCCAATTAACGTCTAGTAACTTAAGGTAGCAACAGTATGAATTTTCAGAATTTTCCATTATTACTAGAAAAATGTGCACCAGATGAGATCTGCCTTATTACAT